CACAAAAATATTAAGCAGCACAACTGTTTTCAACATTTATAATAAGTAATGTTTCTTGAGCAAATCAGCATATTAAAATGATTTTTGAAAGATCATGTGACACTAAAGACTGAAATTATGGATGCTGAAAAGTCAGCTTTGCATCACAGGAATAAACTGCATTCTAAAATATATTAAAATAGAATAAAGTTAATTCAATTGTAATAATATTTTACAATATTACTGTTTTTACTATATTTTTTAACAAATAAATGCAGCCTTGGTGAGCATGAGACCTCTTTCAAAAGCATTTTAAAAAATCTTATTGACCCCAAACTTTTGAAAGTTAGTATACAAAATAACAAGCAAGAATGTTGACTAACAAGCAAGAACTAAAAAAAATAAAAAAATAAAAAAATAAAAACAAAGTGGCAATGTTTTGAAAGACAATATTTTGTTCAAATTTTGTTTACATGCGGATGTAAAACTAGTGTGTAATGTTATGTAATTGCCCTACATAAAGAAAGCATGCATGAAAATATAAAACTATAGGAATCTTGAGTGTTTGATTTGATTCAGTCCCTGACAACAGTGCTGACAGTCATTATATAAGCAGAGCACAGAATCAGAGGAAGATATGTCACAGCCAGAAGAAAGCAGTAGGATGGAGTCTGCCAGGAGACAAGAGGAATGAGAGAAGAAGAGCTGATGGATGAGTCAGCGAAGAGCTATGAGATAAGAGCACAACCTCCAGAATATTTGAACACCTCTAACTATATTTAAGTAGATTTATTATAGCAGATCCAACTGCAGTGTACTGCAGACCTTCTTAAGGGTTTGTTCCAAAAGACTTGAGGGCTATTCAAACTCAAAACAATGTGAATTGCATGTCAATTTTTCATATCAAAACTACTGAACAAGAGAAAAACACAATCCAGTCATTCACATCCTTTGATGCCAGGTACAATCCATCGTGAAATAGTATTAGATATGATACCACTCTTTTGGAATAAAGCAGTATTTCCACTAATATTTGATTTGAGAATATTGGCTTTAATTAATGTGGGTAATATTGTCAAAAATATGGTTACACTTTATTTTAAGGTGTCCTTGTTACAGTGTAATTATACATTTAAGTACTGAGTAATATTAATTAACTACATGTACTTACTATATGGTTAGGGTTATGATTAGAACACTTAAAATAAAGTGTTACCAAAATATATAAACACATTTAAACCTAAGAGCTAAATAGGCGACACTTACTGCTATGACAGTGACTCCTGCTGTGGTGTTGTTGGGTTTGGGCCCCATGTTGAAATGTTTCTTAATCTTGCCGGCCACAGACAGCTGGTGCTGATTCTCACACATCCTGTCATCCTGAGAAAGAGCAGAAACAGTGCCTCTGCATATCAGTTTCCTACTAACAGTCTGAGAATAGCACATACACTTTCAAACAGACAGATAAAGTCTTACATTGACCCAGGGATGGTCTAACACCTGTAGAGCTGTGTATCTCTGGTCGACCTCCACCTGTAGCATGCAGGTAATAAGTGCCTGTAGAGAAAGGAAGTAAAAAAGAATAGAATGAGGTTTATTTTTCTTTTCAGAACGTTCAAACTTTGTTTTGGTATACCAACCTTTGCAGAGTCAGAAACATTGTCCCAGTATGGAAGAGGGAAATCCAGCTGTCCCATGAGAATCTGGTCAAAAAAAGCTTCCTGGTCATCTGTGCTCCTAAAAGAACAGAATTAGAATATTTATGAATATTTATTGTGCTATTGCAATAAGGAGTGAAGGTGCAACTCGCACTATCCATATCCTCTGCAGATGTGCAGGTCTAACTTAAACTACAGAACACGGCCACTAGAGGGAGTGACATCAAATTTAACTGCATTTAACCTGTATATAATATGAGCTATAAAGTTGTATAAATTGAACTCGTATTGAATCCAAGATAAAAGTTGCATGCTTTTGTTGTACTTACCCACGGAAAGGAGGGAAGCCGCAAAGCAATATGTATGTTATGACCCCGGCCGCCCAGATATCAACTTTCAATCCATACCTTAAACATGAAGAGAAATTTTCCAGACCAGGGGCCGTATTCACAAAGAATTTTATCTTATCACTAAGAGTCCTCATAAATTTCTCCATTAGAGGTAACTTTCAGCCTTAAAATTGTTTGTGAATACAGCCTCAGATCTTTAAAAAGCCTTAGTTTTCATGCTCTGTTACAATAACATTGCCATGCTAATGAAGACATGATTTACCCCGTCTCTGCGACGATCTCTGGAGCTACATAGGTTGGGGTGCCACATATAATGTAAAGTGGTCCGTCCACAACTGTTGCCAATCCGAAATCCCCCAGTTTCAGGGATTTGCTTTTATCCTGGTGCTCATAGACCTTATACACATATAAATGACAGTAAATTAAAGTAAAATCACATCAGGTTACTGTCTAAATCTTAAATTGCATAGAGAAAACCATGAAATCCCCTATTTTGTATATTATTTTTTAATATCAGTATTATATATATATACATACACTATAATAAAACTAAATATAATTAAAATAAATCAAATAAAAATTTTTAGCAGTTTTTGAAAGGGAAGCTCAAATAAGATTCCAGAATGTTTGTGTCTGTTTTTCAGCTTTATCTCAGTTATGTGGAAAACTGGTTAAAAAAAATCGTAATCTTTACAGAGTCAATTTACAGCATTCATTAATCTTATCTGCCACAACTTAACATAACACACAGGACATTAATATGCACACCAGGCACAATACCCTTTGTCAGAGCTGTTTTGTTCCCTATCTGTTGGTCACTTCGATTTATGTCGTGATAACATTAGGGGTCTTACTTGGGAGCCTGAATCCTCTCTGATTAAGAAAAAACACCAATGAAATTTGGCTAGTGAATTTTGCATGCTGAGCCACTCCCTGTGCATACGGGTATAAATAGGTGCATCCACTCATCAGATTTTTGCTTCAGAGCCGAGTGAATGAAGGAAACTCGACATTCACCAGGCGAATTCTCTCATTTGCTGGAAGAAGAGGCTGTTCTGGGTGACGTTACGACACATTCAGCGGCATCCCTGTTAACTCAGCGATTCCCCTGGTTGTTTCATCTAAAAGAGCAGTTTCTGATCACGGTGGGATTACGTCTTTTTAAAGATGCCGCTCCGGCCGTGTCCTCTTGGGTGTTGTCGTTACCTGTCTTCTACTGACGGCCACGATCGTTGTCTTTAGTGTATGGGCATCCAGCACACTGAGGATGCGTTCGTGGATGGTTCATGTGCTCACTGTGAGTGTATGTCCATGACAGCACTGCGATCACACCTCTCTCTCCTCAAGGGGAGCGGAAGGGGCACCTTCTGTCACCACCCGTTCTGGTTTCTCTGCCACGAACAGAGGACCACCGGCTGGTGCTTTGGGTGATCTGAGGGTTAAAGTGAGAGCTTCTCCGCCGGGTCCGTCACCGCGGACCTCTCACTCCTCTCGCTGCAACTGTCCCGTGCGGTTTCCCGGTGATTCGTCTGAGCCGTCTCGTGGCAGTCTCAGCGTTTCAGTCGATGTCGATCAGATGTCGATCACAGCATCGGGGGATGGGCTGTCATCTTCCGAGGATGAAGATTCGGCAGGGCTGCCCCCCTCGGGTGTTGTCGCCATTGCCGAATCGGACCCGGAACTGATGGTCATGCTTTCCCGGGCCACCTCAGCCAGTTGGGGTTTCGGGTCAACTGCAAAAAGAGCAAGCTCTCCCCTGTGCAGAGAATCTCTTTTCTCATTGCGGAGTTAGACTCTGTGAGTATGATGCCGCGTCTCACCAACGAGCATGCCCAGTCACTGCTGAACGGAGTTCCTTCAGAGGCAGGACGGTGCTACCACTGAAACACTTTCAGAGGCTCCTGGGGCATATGGCATCCACAGCTGCAGTCACGCCGCTCGGATTGCTTCATATGAGACCACTTCAGCACTGGTTACACTCCCGAGTGCCAAGATGGGCATGGCGCCACGGTATGCCTTTCTACGGGCCGGAGTGCCCTTAGAACAAGTGTCCCGGCATGTCGTTGTCACGACGGATGCCTCCAGTACGGGCTGGGGCGCCACATGCAACGGGCAGGCAGCCTCAGATCGTAGGTCTACGATCACGTCGCATGTCACAACTCGCCCGCCATCTCCTCCTCTGGAGAAAGCTGCACAAAATATGAAAAAGCTATTGAAATATATTACATTTTTATAGAAATTAAAAATGAAAAATGTATATAATGAACGTTATTGTAACGTTGCGGTAAGGACATTTTGTAAGAAGAAGAGCTGGAAAACATAAAAAATAAATCCATGCAATTTTGTTGACCTATTTACATGTATAAATTCACAGGGGTTGATTTTTGTAATTTTAAAGCCTTTAATTTTGTGCCTGTAGTTGCAGAAACACCCATATATATGTATGTATATGTATGTATATATATATATATATATATAACTGTGAGTGTATGTCCATGACAGCACTGCGATCACACCTCTCTCTCCTCAAGGGGAGCGGAAGGGGCACCTTCTGTCACCACCCGTTCTGGTTTCTCTGCCACGAACAGAGGACCACCGGCTGGTGCTTTGGGTGATCTGAGGGTTAAAGTGAGAGCTTCTCCGCCGGGTCCGTCACCGCGGACCTCTCACTCCTCTCGCTGCAACTGTCCCGTGCGGTTTCCCGGTGATTCGTCTGAGCCGTCTCGTGGCAGTCTCAGCGTTTCAGTCGATGTCGATCAGATGTCGATCACAGCATCGGGGGATGGGCTGTCATCTTCCGAGGATGAAGATTCGGCAGGGCTGCCCCCCTCGGGTGTTGTCGCCATTGCCGAATCGGACCCGGAACTGATGGTCATGCTTTCCCGGGCCACCTCAGCCAGTTGGGGTTTCGGGTCAACTGCAAAAAGAGCAAGCTCTCCCCTGTGCAGAGAATCTCTTTTCTCATTGCGGAGTTAGACTCTGTGAGTATGATGCCGCGTCTCACCAACGAGCATGCCCAGTCACTGCTGAACGGAGTTCCTTCAGAGGCAGGACGGTGCTACCACTGAAACACTTTCAGAGGCTCCTGGGGCATATGGCATCCACAGCTGCAGTCACGCCGCTCGGATTGCTTCATATGAGACCACTTCAGCACTGGTTACACTCCCGAGTGCCAAGATGGGCATGGCGCCATGGTATGCCTTTCTACGGGCCGGAGTGCCCTTAGAACAAGTGTCCCGGCATGTCGTTGTCACGACGGATGCCTCCAGTACGGGCTGGGGCGCCACATGCAACGGGCAGGCAGCCTCAGATCGTAGGTCTACGATCACGTCGCATGTCACAACTCGCCCGCCATCTCCTCCTCTGGAGTTAGACGCGGCTCAAATCACTGCACGCCGTCTACATTCCGGGGGGGCTCAATCGTGCAGCCGATGCACTCTCACGACAGCTCACATTCCCCGGAGAATGGCGACTCTATCCCCAGACGGTCCAGCTGATTTGGAGTTAAGCCCAGGTAGACCTGTTTGCTTCCCTCGAGTCCTCTCACTGCCAGCTGTATTACTCCGTGACCGAGGCCCCCCTCGGCACGGATGCACTGGCACACAGCTGGCCTCAGGCTCTACGCAAGTATGCGTTTCCCCCAGTGAGCCTTCTCGCACAAACACTGTGCAAGGTCAGGGAGCACAAGGAACAGGTCTTGCTGGTTGCGCCTTACTGGCCCACCCGGACCTGGTTTTTGGAACTCACGCTCCTCGCGACAGCCCCTCCCTGGGGCAAGGAAGGACCTTCTTTCTCAGGGGCACGGCACACTATGGAACCCGCGCCCAGATCTTTGGAACCTCCATGTGTGGCTCCTGGACGGGACGTGGCAGACTTAAGTGGTCTGCCACCGGCGGTGGTAGACACCATCACTCAGTCTAGAACTCCCTCTACGAGGCAAGCCTATGCACTGAAGTGAAGTCTGTTCGTGAACTGGTGTTCTTCTCGCCGAGAAGACCCCCGAAGATGCACGATTGGAGTAGTGCTTTCCTGCAAGAAAGGTTGGAGTGTAGGCTGTCACCCTCCATCTTGAAAGTGTATGTGGCTGCTATCGCAGCACATCACGATGCAGTGGACGGCCGGTCCCTGGGAAAGCACGATCTCATTGTCAGATTCCTGAGGGGTGCCAGAAGGTTGAATCCGCCTAGGCCACCCCTGGTGCCTTCCTGGGATCTCTCTACCGTCCTGGCTGGCCTTCAGAGGGATCCCTTTGAGCCGCTGGATTCAGTTGAGCTTAAATTCCTGTCTGCTAAGACAGCGCTCCTGACCGCGCTCACTTCCATCAAGAGGGTCGGGGACCTCCAAGCATTTTCGGTGAGCGAAGAGTGCCTTGTGTTCGGGCCGGCCTACTCTCACGTTGTCCTGAGACCCCGGCCTAGATACGTGCCCAAGGTTCCCACCATGCCTTTCCGTGATCAGGTGGTGAACTTGCAAGCATTGTCCCCAGAGGAGGCAGACCCAGCCCTCGCGTTGCTGTGTCCCGTAAGAGCGCTTCGCATATATGTGGACTGCACCTGGAACTTCAGAAGCTCCGAGCAGCTCTTTGTCTGCTACGAGGTCAGCAGAAAGGGAAGGCTGTCTCCAAGCAGAGGTTGGCCCCCTGGATAGTGGATGCCATCGCCTTGGCGTACCAGTCCCAAGGTGAGCCGTGCCCGTCTCTCTGGCAGACATCTGTAGAGCTGAAGGCTGGGAGACACCAAACACCTTCGCGAGATTCTACAGCCTCCGCGTCGAGCAGGTTTCTTCCCGTGTGTTGGGTAATAGGTAATTGGCGGGAAGGACCGGCCTGTGTCACGCTTGCTGTGCCATTTCCCCTCACACGGGGATTGGGAAGGTTACGACCTTTACGTAGCACCTGTCTGACACGCTGCGGCTTGTCAACACTTGCAACTCCATAGGGTTGTGACGGGGTTCAGGTTGTGGCGCTTTCCATGGACCCCTAATGTCGTCACAACATAACTCGAAGTGACCGACAGATAGGGAACGTCTTGGTTACGTACGTAACCCTCATTCCCTGATGGAGGGAACGGACATGTTATGTCCCCATGCCACAACCTTGAACCATCGCTGGTTGCCAGGGACAAGTTCTCGGCTCCTCAGCATAAAACCTGATGAGTGGATGCACCTGTCGCCTATTTATACCCGTATGCAC